GAGGAGGAGAAGGAGGAGAAGGAGGAGGAGAAGAAGAAGAAGAAGAAGAAGAAGAAGAAGAAGAAAAAGAAGAAGAAGAAGGAGGAGGAGGAGGAGGAGGAGGAGGAGGAGAAGGAGGAGAAGGAGAAGAAGAAGAAGAGGAAGGAGAAGAAGAAGAAGAGGAAGAAGAAGAAGAAGAGGAATAAGAAGAAGGAGGAGGAGGAGAAGGAGAAGGAGAAGGAGAAGGAGAAGAAGAAGAAGGAGGAGGAGGAGAAGGAGAAGGAGAAAGGAGGGAGGGGGAAGGAAAGGGAGGAAGGAAGAAAGAACAAATAAAGAAATAATGCTTGCTTTCAAGGAGATACATTTAATCAGACATGGTGAGAAGATAAAGAGTCTGTTGTTGTTCAGTCATGTCCAACTCTACATGATGCCATGGACAAAGTCCATTGGGTTTCTTGGCAAATCAAATGGAGTGGTTTTGCCATTTCCTCCTCCAGTGTCTCCCAATTTTACAGATTAGGAATTGAGACAAATAGCAGTTAAGTGACTAGACCCATAGCTAGTAAGTGTCTGAGGCCAAATTTAAACTCAGGTCTTCCTGACTCTAGGCTAGTGTTCTATCCACTGTACTACCTAGCTGCTCCCTAGATTTTTATCTTATATTGTTTTTACCTTTGGTAAAACAACAAATTTATGCTGTTGGAATTCATCCTCTTGCATTATAGAGATGTTACTTTACTTGTAGATGGACAGCTAAGCCTAGAAGGCTGGCTTATTGAGAGGTAGTGTGGTGTATTGGATAGAACACTGGTACGGATGTCAGGAGGCTGTGAAGGGATTAAACCTGGCCTAAGCAAGTCACCTCCCCTCTCTAAGCCTTAGCTTTTTCACCTCTAAAACAAAGGGGTTGGAATGAAGTTTCTCTAAAGTCCTTTCCAACTCAAAATCTATTATCCAAAGGTCTTTAGAGGATCTCCTTTACTAAGTGAATCTGATTTGAGCTTAGCAAAATTTCTTTCTCAAAACTACACATGAACCCTAAGGTCCCATCCCAGATCCTTTTTTTTTTATTTGCTAGGTGATCAGTCTATCAGTCCAGATGGGGAACAGTTTGTCTTCATCTCCCACACAATGAATCCTAACAATTACAGATTCTAGTCAATCCTCATCCATTCATTTCTCTTGTTAATTAATTAGTCCTAATTCCTTTAACCTTTCTCGCTAAAAAGTTAAGGTCAGAGTGGGATGTGGGAGGCAGCAATAGATAAAAGCCTTACAAAGCTGGAAAGAATTTAAGAGATCATCTTGTCCAACTGTTGTATTTTTATAAACCAGTAAATTAATTGATTTATAAACAAATTCATTATTGATTTTTATAAATTAGTAGATATTTTTAAGCAGGTCAGTAGAATGATTATTCTTTCTTAGTCCAATGGTCCTTCATTTATATCACCCTGCCAATGTGGGGGCCATTTCCAGTCATCCTGATCTATATCTTGCACCTGGACCCAGATGGCTCCGGAGGAGAGAGTGAGGCTAGTGACTCTTCACAGCCTTCCCTCAGTTTATTTCAATTCATTTGCAAGTCATAACATCTCCTTCCTGATGTCATGATCCTCTTCAAGAATGAGGGACACACAGCAACCTGTGAGTAGTAATAGTTGCCCCACTGGGTACCCATCTGGCCAGTTTCAGTTGGAATTAGGCAATGAAGCTCCTTCTTTCCTTCCTTCCTTTCTTCCTTCCTTCCGTCAACCTTCCTCTCCCTGCTCACCCTTTGTCCACATAGGGAATCATACCCTCACCTGCGGGTGCTCTGCCCAAAGGAATATCAATTTTGATCAGTGAAACCTAGCAAGATATTTTGGGGTTTGGGGGATATATTTCTTTTTTATGAACCATGCCTTAAATACTAATCACTCTGGCTCTCCTAGATTGGCCAACCATAGATCCTAGGCAAAGCCTTACTTGGTCATTGTTTGGATTCTGATGGCTCATAGTGAATGCAAATAGCAATTATTTGTTTTGGTCAGAAACCCTGAGGGTCTTCCCCTCCCAGATTGATTTTTTTTTGACTAGGTAAAAGAAGCAATTTTTACCTAGCCTTAATCATTGAATGGGTATTGACTCAGACAAACCAAGCCCTGGGAAAAACCTTAGCTTAAAAAGTCCAAGATCTCCCACTGCATTTAAGCCACCTCCAGTTGTCCTGATCTATATCTTGCAGCTGGACCCAGATGACTATGGAGAAGATAGTGAGACTGGTGACTTTGCACAGCCCTCCCTCACTTAAATCTGATTCACTTGGAAGTCATGACATCATCTTCTCTATCTCATGGTCCTCTTTGAGAACAATAACTCTTCCTATGCAGACTGTGAAAGACCTCGAATACCAGACTTAGCTGTTTCCTCATTTCCAGACCTTGAATGACCTGTTCATTGCAATAAGATATCCCCAAATCATACTATTAATGATGCTCATCCTCCCCATAATATTGGTGATGCTCATATCCGTAGTGATACCTCCTAAATATCTATTAGTGACACACAAACTGTTTTGTCCTAATGTTACCATCCATCCCTGTCCTGGCCCTAGTGAATAACCACTAGTGTTTCTCTTCATATTGATCTGACCTGAGCAGAATACGCCTGGTGTTAGGCCCTATACAGTTCTAGTTTCTCCATGTCAAACTGCCCCACTCTCATTATCAGGACTGGGTTTCTCTTATCGTCCAACAGTGTTGTCTTTTTACTGATTTCAGAAGCAGGACCCCTACAGGATCAATTGCCATTCTCCAGCACCAAGGAGGTGTGGAGAGACCCCTTGGACGTGCTTGGGGATCTCTAGGCTGATAGGAAGCTGGCAGCAAAGCATAGCTCCTTCAAAGGCTTCATCTAGAAAGGAAAATTCCCCATGAAAGAGCAGCTCCCCACCTTATCACCTTGTATTCTAGGAGTCTACATTCATGTCATCTGATTAACATTGATTCTTCTGTAAGCGCATGGACTGTGTTTGATAATTAAAATTTAAAATTATTCAATAAGAACAAATTGTTGGCTGTGTTAAGCTCAGTCACTGCAAAGGGAGTATGTCACTATCCAGAGAGGGGCCAGATATAATGCCACCCACACAGGCATCCCTGACCCCAAAGCCAGGGTACCCACCCCAGAGCAGGCTGGGAAATTCTCTTCTAGCAGTGAGGCTGATGAGGGACAGAGATTCTAAACACGCTTCTCCTCCTCCACCTTGACTTGACATGCTGCTATAATCCTTTGGTCCCCTCAGTTTCCTCAGCCTGCTCCTCTTTGCCACACCTTTTTTGGTCTGGGTCAGTGCTTTCATTGGTATAGGGAATCTCTGCCCTGCAGATATGCAATGTTTTCCCCACTTAGAGAATGGCCTTGGGAATCAGGACGGATAAGTGACTTGCCAGCCAATATGAGTCAAAGGTAAGACTTGAACCCAGGTCAACCTGGCTCTGAAGCTTCAGTTTCCTATGCTCTAAGACACCTAGGCTGCTTTTTTGGTCTCCTCACTCAACCTTGAGTGTCTGGCTCACTACTAGGTCTACTCATTCTTCTCTGGCCCTCTGCCTTGGTGCATGAGGATGCCTAATGGACAAATCCCAGGAGAAAGGTTCATAGGCCTCCTACCATACCTTTGCATTTACAAACTCCCTCTAAGGGTCTCTTCAATGAATAAATAATGGCGATCAGAATCCCTGCTATTCTTATACTCATTGAACCTTTCTTCTGAGAAGACTGTATGCCTTCTTTCACCATTAGATTATAAGCTACTTGAGGGCAGGGACTATCTTTTGTCTCTTTTTGTATCCCAAGAGCTATAGAAGGTGCTTGATAAATGCTTATTGACTGGCTGCCTGACTGATTTTTACCCTTCTGGGACAGTAAGGGTCAAGTAATAGGGAAGCAAAGCACTCTCGACTCTGGCCACACCACAAAGAAGAGAGAAAGTTGAGGGAAAGAACTGAACCACTGCATGGGTGGAGATTCAGACTTTCAAGCCCCGCTCCTGAATGTATGCTGGAGATGTGTGTTGTTATTATTGTTTCGTTGTTGTTATGTTTTCTCAAAGAAGGAACTGGACACAATTAAAATGACTCAACAGCAATAAATCAATAATAGTAATAGGTTTTGAAAGCACCTTATACTCATGTTCTTATTTGACCCTCATGAAAATCCTGTAGGGCAGGTAATTCAGGCATTATCATTCAATGAGAAAACTAAGGCTCAGAGACACAAATGACTTGTCCCAATTTGAACCCAAGACTCACCTGACACCAAGAGCAGTACTCTCTCCACTAAAGCAACGGTAAAAAAGTTTATATCCTCAGGTCTGGCCAGCTGAACTGCTTTCTATCCCTGATGAAGGTAGGATGGATGCTCCCCAGAGATTGCTAAACTATTCCACAAGAGTGGTCAACCCATGGGTGTGCCAGTTTGTGTGAGCCAGTTGTTAAATTTTCATTATGAGCATTTATACCTCTGATATGACAGCCAACGGGCCAAATCTGGCTTGCGGCCGGCTATTAAACAGCCCTTTATTTAAAAACATAAAAAATTTACGGTTAAATAGTTTACATTATATTTAAATGTGTAAAAAAAGTTTACATTTAAAAATGTAAAAACCATTCTTAGCTGTTGGGCTATGCAAAAGCAGGCAGTGGTTAGCATTTAGCCTGTGGGCTATAGTTTGCTGACCTCCAGTGCAGACTAAAGAAAGTGGTGAATAAAATTTTCATAACACAGATTAAGCTTTAAAATGTGTCTGGCATTCATTTTTATTTTTTGGAGAGCCAGGTGTTAAACATTTACCAACACATCACTGGATCAGCCCTATCCCCCTACCCCAAATGTTTCACAGAAACCAAACCTTGTCCTTACTCCGGAAGCCTGAACATCATTTTGTACCAACCAGCTTCCTTAGGCCCCCACTTGGTATAAGAGAAGTGCCCAGCATTCAGGGACATAGCTGGAAGCAGCTCCTGGGCTCTACTCACCTCTTTGATCCTATGCAGGAGGGGCAGAAGCCAGTCTTTGTTTACCTCACAGTGGCTGTCAAGAAAAGTCAGGATGCTGGCCTGGGCTAGGTCTGCTCCCCGGATCCGAGAACGGATCAGCCCTGTAGAATGAGGACAAATGGCCATGCAAGTACCCCCTAGGGACTGGTCCGCAGTCCCTCTAGAAGTCTTTAAGGCTGTGACTGACAGAGCAGCCAGCCTCCCTGCTCCCTGCATCACCATCCCTTTTCCCCTGATCCCAGGAGTCCCCCTCGGGAAGCTGTTTTGCTCTTACCTTCCCGCTGTTCATTCCGTAAGCATTTCACCTTGGGTAGCTTGCTCAGCAGTTGGCAATCATCAGCTTGCAAAAGATAAAATGGGATGATGAGTGAGCATCCTGGCCTCCACGCTCCAGGGGCAAGCTTCCTACCCACAGGGGGATGTGAGAAGCCGGTGATCCTTCCTGGCAGCCCAGTCCCCTGACCTGTTTCCAATTTCCCTGACACTACTCAATTCTGATGACTTCCTACTCTTGCCTTGGAACAGCAAGAAAACAGGAGAGGAAGAAGCTGAATGTCCTGTGGGCTGAATCCTAATCACCATCATTATGAAAAGTGGTTCAGGAGAAGTGGCCTACCCGAGAGGACAGAGAGCTGGAAGCGGAATCAGAAAGACCAGGGTTCAAGTTCTGCCTCACTGGCTGTGGGACCCTGGGTAAATCGCTTAACCTTTCAGTGCTCTGAGCTCTAACACTAAATATTACTAACAATTAGCTCATCTGCCTTATAGAGTGAATTTCCTAGCTATAAGTTCCCTATATCAAAAAAATGACGAGTCTGGGAATTAAAAAACAAAAACAAAAACATTCCTAATGCAATGTAGTTTAAGTGGGGAGTATTTTTTGGTTTCCCAGCCTGAATTAGGGTACCCTGACACCTTTTGCTAAGACTCTTCTAAGGTGAAAGCGAAGCCTTGGCTTGGTCATACAAGAAAGCTATGGAGCTTCCTTCTCTATAGACCACGGAGTCCAAGAGATTCCTATAACATCAGGGTGAGTGTGCTAAAGACCAACTGGACTGAGGGGATGTCTAAGGGCTCTGCACTTGGAATCATTGACTTCCTACAAGACCCAGCTCAATGCCCATCAATGTAGGAGTTTCCTGTTTCCCACAGCTGCTGTGCTTTCTCCTCTGAGAATTACCTTCCATCTACCCTGTATAAAGGGCGACCCAAAAGTCTTAGTTGTGCATTTCCAGGCTGTAACAGTTTAAAACTGCATGTAGAATTTTAGAATACCTGATATCTCTTACATGTACCTAGTTATTTACATGGTATCTCCCTCGTTAGAACGTAAGCTCGCTGAGGACAGAGGTTGTTTGTACCTCACACTCTATGACCTAATGACACTGGCCCTGGCTGTTCCAGAAACAAAACACTCCATTTCTTGTCTCTGGGCATCTTCTCCAGACATCCTACATGCCTGGGATGCCCTCCTTTCTCATCTCTCCCTCTGGCTTGGCTTCCTTCAAATCCCATCTAAAATCTCACCTTTTACAGAAAGCCTTCCCCAACCGCTCTTAAAATACACTGCCTTCCCTCTGTTCATTATTTCCTGTTTATCCTGTATATAGCTGCCTTTGTATATATTGGTTTGCATGTTATCTTCCTCCATTAGACTGTAAGCTCCTTGAAATCAGGGACTGTCTTTTGCCTCTTTTTGTATCCCCAATACTTAGCATAGCGACTGGCACACAATAAGTCCTTAAATAAATGCATGTTGACTGACTAACTGGGCAACAGAAATTTATCTGTGCAGCCCAGAGGCATGGCCCAGACAGGTCTTCTGGATATAAGAGGGGGGAAGAAGTGTGAGGTATAGAGGGGATAAGATAATACTAAACTGGGTATTCAGGAAGTAGGGGGAACCCTTTCATTCCAGGCCAAGCTTTGGCTGAGATGTCTTCACACAGAGCAAGAGTAAGGAAGTGACATATACTCACATTGAAGTGAGTTCTAGGTTAAAATCTTTAAAGGGATGGGGCAGCCATTTATAATCAATCAACATTCACTTATTAAGTACCCACTATGCACTGAGTACTCAGTTAGGTAGTAGAGGTCTGAAGAAAAAAAGGAAACAATTCCTGCCCTCAAGGATCTTGCACTCTACTGGAGACACCATTTACATAAGTACACAACAAATATAGAATATACACAAAATGCATACTACAGTTTTGAGAGAGCACTAAATGCTAGGGGATTCAGAAAAAGACTTCAATGCCAAAGGTGGTACTTAAGCCAAGCCATAAAGGAAATTACCATGGGGTGAGAAGATGTGCATTTTACAGATGGAGAGGTGAGCAGAGAGGCAAGGATGATGGAGTGTTATATTTGTGGAACACTGAAAAGGGCAATTGGGTTACACTGTTGAAAGAAGGAAGTCATGTGTATATATTATACATACATATATATGTGACTACATACACATACACATATACATATATGTTCCTTCATTTATTCATCTATTCATTCATTTGCTTATTTACTTATATTTATATAGGGTGACAAAATAGAGGAGTCTCTATTTGTTCTTAGGGGTAATAGAGAACCACTGCAGCTTATTGAGCAAGGTCTGACTTGCGTTTTAGGAAAATGACTGTGTCCATTGTGTGGAGGATTGACTGGAAAAGAGAGAGACTTAGAATGGAGAGGGAGAGACTTAAACCAGGGAGACCACTGCAATGGTCCAAGCGGAAGCGAAAGTTCAGGTTAGAGAGGGAGGGAAGCACACCTTGTCAAGTACATGATCAGACAGGCATACAGACTCATGCAGTAATAGGCCCAGATATGTAGCAATAGCTCACATTTATAAAGTGCTTTCTGGTTTGCAAAACATTTTTTCATACATTATCTTGTATGACCTCACCACACCCCATGAGGTAAATGTTATTAATATTCCCGTTCTGCAAATGAGGAAACTGAAGCTCATAGTGACTTGTCCAGTGTCACACAGATATTAAGTAACTGAAACAGGATTAAAACTCAGATTTTCCTGACTCCAAGCTCAGTGCTTTCTCTACTACATCAAGCTGCCATAAAATCATCTGGCACAGGCTTGGACTTGTGTCCATAGGGTCACAAAAGAAGCTTTAAAAGATTCATTAAGATCAATTCTCTTCTTTTATTCAGATGGAAATTCTCCAAGCCTGCTTAGACTTTCCTGGTCCCCTGGGAACAAGTGCAGTACAGAGTGACACTCCTGTGCTTTGTACCCAAATAAGAAAGAAATAAAATGTCAATACTTACGGTCATCACTGAAGTCATCCACTAATATGATCTCATGGACCAGATGCACTGGAGTTCGGTTTGACACACTGTGAGATGGAGAGAGGAAAAACCATTACAGCAAAAATGGGAAGAAAAACAAAAGCACACATTGTTAGAGGAAGGAGGTGGTGGGGTTGTGATTGGATCTGTTCCAGGGTGGGTAGAGGGTGATATCAACTAAAGGAAAGAAAGTACTAGGTTTATTTTTCAAGAAATAGGGGAGAAAACCCAAACCTTTGGCCCTTGTTTCATATTCAGGGTTAATCAATCTAAACCTTTCAGGTTCTATTTGTAATGGACCTTTTGTGAAGTTGAGATACCAAAATGCTGTCAAAAATTATTAAGAAAGACAGTAACCAAACCTCTTCATATGAGTTAGGATAAATTGAGGTAGTGCCAGAATTATGCCAAGAAGGAAAAAGGGGTCACATACATTAAGTGTGCAAAAATTACTGATGTTTTTAGACTGAGGGATGATAAAAGGCACAGTTTTGGGATGACTAGGACTGTTTGGGATGTCACTACCCATTGACACGGCCAACAAGAGAAGGGGATACTTAATAAATGCTTTCTGATTTAAATATTATGAAGAAAGAATCAGCCAGACTGGTAATAGAGGTAAAAAAGGAGGAATATAAGCTCACTCTAAGAAGAACTGTGGTAGTGCCAATGATGGTAATAGAAGAGGCAGGAGATCCTCACCACAATTCAACAAGCATTTATTGTCTGCTTTATGTTTGTCACTTTGCCAAGTATTAGGGATACAATGACAAAAAAGGAACTAGTTCTTGCCCTTGAGAAGCTTACATTCTACTGGGGAAGCTTACACATATTCTCAGAATTGGAAAGGTAGGATAGGGAATAGATCTGGAATGAACTTTTAAATATATTCCATTTTGGGTGATAATAAGTTATTCAAAATAGAGAGGTTCCACAAGTAGCAAGAAATATGGGTCTGGAAAGAGGGTTAGATGCAATAATGCCATAATTTTGTTATGAGATCCATGCTTGCATAAGTGAGATCGAATCCTAGAATCCAGCACATCAAAGCTAGAAGAGTTCTTAGAAATAATCTAGTTCAGTCCCCAAAATACACAGATGGGGAGACTGAGATTAAGTGACTTGCTTGAGATCACACAAAATTTGTTATGTGGTGGTAGACATGGGATTAGAATCCTCCCTGACCATTCTAAGTGGCTGATAAAACTATATGAATTTAAGAGTATTTCAGATAGAAATCAACAGGAAAAGTTGTGAGAATGGATAGGGATTGCCAAGCGAGTGGGTGAAGAGGGAGCAAGGGACACAGTAGTGAATCATAGCCAGCAGGCAGAATAGGGAGAAAGAGCCAAGAAAGATGCTAAAGCAGATAGATGCTATATAAGCATGAAGGGAAGTAAAAGAAAAAAATGTTAGGGGTTCAAGAAGAGACAGATACTCTGAATAGGCAGTCAACTGCATGTCCAGGTGAATGAATGTGGAGCAGCACCCAACACGTTAATTTCAGGAGATATTAGATGCTATGAGAGGCAACATGGCACAGTAGATAAGAGTGTTAAAGTCGGGAAGTCCTGGGTTAAAGTCTTGCTTCCAACATCTATTAGCTGAGTGAATATTGACAACTTGACCTTTCAAGTCTGAGTTACTACGATACGGATACCTGGAGCACCTATTTCACAGGGTGGTTACCAAACTCAAATGAAATAATGCAAGTAAAGTACTATAGAAATGACAGTTAATATTATCATTAGTCTCTTGGAGCAAGTCCAATCACACTGCTGAATACGTGGCAGCTCCCTTGACCATGGTGCTGACTCTAGGATGTGCCCCAAGGTGAACAGTAGGAGGAGGAGGGGAATGAGTGGACTTAGATCCTCATTTCCTAGAGTGTCCTTTTCAGAGCTCTCTTTTGTATTGGGTGTTCAGCAACCCACAATGAGAACTTTATTCTTGGAATTCCCTTTATTTGTGAAGTATTAATTCTCACCATGGCAACTAGGACAAAGTAGAGAATAGAACCCCATCACAAAGACCCAAGCCCCATTGTCAAATTCACTGAAGAAGGGACCAGAGGTTGCCATCATGTGAAACCAGCCCCAGGGAGGGTAGATGGAGGAGGAAGCCTTACCATGATCACCACTGGGGATGAGGGGAACCCAACCACCCCCAACGGCCAACCCTCTAATTACAGAGGGGAGAGAAAGGGGAAACAGGAGGGGAAAAAATTGCTTGAAGAATAACCTTTAATGAGTTTTGATTACAGCTGCAGTTTCGGCATTTTACTCCCTCAAATCCCCGCCGGCTCTTTGAAATTCAAGAGTTCTCTTATATGAACATCAAAAGGTAAATTGTGTGCGAGCTCAGAGCTTAGCCGTACTGGGAGATGATTAGCGAATAAAAAATGTCCAAGGTTTAAAAAAAGAGAGTGTGTGTCGTCAGCACTAAGTGCTAATTATACCATTTCCAGTGAACACCTGGCTTGTTTTTGCTCTTTTAATCAGGACAATTTGAGCAACAGCAGGGTCTCATGCAAAGTGGCTGAGGGCTCAGGAGACCTAGGATGAGGCACTGGGCTTCTTGGGTATCCCAAAGGTCAAAGCTAGAAACAGGATCAAGATTCTCCAACTAGACCCTCCCCTGATGATTTACCCCTAAATGCTGCATTTGGCCTCCCACCAAGGTGGTCACTTTCTTGGACTTGCCCTTCCTCTATCTGCCAGTCTTGGGTAACAGAAAGGACATTGGAATGGGATTCAGATCCTAACTGTAACTTACTTCTTGTGTGATGATGGGCAAATCATTCCATCTCCCTAGGCCTTAGCTTCCCGATCTGTAAAATGAGGGGGTGGGACCAGATGGCCTCGAAGGTCCATTCTGCTACACCTATGATCCTCCTTGAGTTTCTGCCTCCATCCCTTTGCTTATGTTGATTCTCCTGGCTGGACTTCCCAGATGAAGAGCCATCCATGCCACCATGCTTTCCACTGAATCCTTCACCAGCTTCAAGGCCTCCCTCTCAAATCACCTTCAGCTTGGCATCTTCACTGACTTACCCAAGCCCAAGCTTCTCTTTCCTCATGCTTTGAATTTCTTTGACACATATTAACATGGCACCATGGACTCGGGATCATAAGATCTGAGTCCAAATCTTGGATCTTTGACTTGTTGGGCACAGTCCCTCCATCCTCTCTCTGGTCCTCATTTTCATCATTTGTAGAAAGAGAGGGCTAGACTAAAGGATCTGTAGGATCCCTTCCATCTGTAATCATACGCATGTACCATGTGTGATTATACTAGCAAACATCTGCTTGTCTGCCTCCTAGAGTTATCATTTAGCTGGTTCTCGTATGGATATTGAGGAGCCCAGGTGGTGGAAGTGCTGGACCTAGAGTCAAGAATACCTGAATTCTAATCTTGCCTCACACCTCACACAGTGGAGTAGCTAGGTGGCACAATAGATAGAGGGCTAGACCTGGAGTCAGGAAGAATCATCTTCCTGAGTTCAATTCCATCCTCAGGAACTTACTAGCTGTGTGACCCTGGGCAAGTCACTCAACCCTGTTTGCCTCAGTTCTCTCATCTGCAAAATGAGCTGAAGAAGGAAACGGCAAATCACTCCAGTACCTTTGCCAAAGAACCCCCAAATGAGACCACAAAGAGTTGGACACAACTGAAACAACTCAACAACAACAAATCCTTGTTAGATCACTTTGTATCTCTCAGCCTGAGTTTCTTCATTTGTAAAATGAGGATTGTGATAAACCTACATTTCAAGATTGTTATCATCATCATCATCATTTTCAATTATTTATTTCCACAGCTAGGGGGCAAGCTCCCAAGAAGCAAGCACTGTGCCCTCTACTTCCTTTGGAACCCCTTATACCAGAAGGCACTCAATCTATGCTCGCTTAATGAAGTAAACACTGATCCAGTCTCAGCACCCCTGTGGCCAGAGTTTGGTCATAGGCTGCTGTGCCCTGAAGCTGGAGGGCAAGGGGTAGGAAGGTAACTTAAGGGATTCAGACCCAAACTCTTCTGCAAGACTTGGATGGGCAGAGAACCAAGTTCCATTATAGCCCTGGGGAGCATGGCTGCCTGCCCAGGCTGATGGGAAGGCTCGGATGCTCAAAATATTCAGTACTTCAGCATAAAGATTGTGGAAATCTGATGTTGGGAGTCAGAGGGCCTGGTTTACAGACCAGTTTCTGCTTCTGGGTAGCTAAGAGACCTTATGCAAGCTGATTCTTCTCTCTGGGACTCAGATTTCTCATCTGTAAAGTGAAGCAGGCTGGAGTGGAGTCTCGAGTGTTCCTGCTCTGGCATTCTATAATCTCTTTATAATTGCCTGAAAGTGTATGTGGAGAGTCCTGAATGGGCTAAGAACTGGCCTAGGTCTAAGACGTTGGAAACCCTGAGACAGTAACAAAGGAGAATGTGGGACGTTTCATTTCTGGAAATCCAAAAACGGTTCCTTATAAGAGGAACTCCCTTATTATATCAGCGGTAAGGGGCTCAGGACAATATGAGGGAGGTTCTCCTCAATTATGAGCCATCTCTACCTATGGAAATTTCTAGAAGCCAGGCATTAAGGATATATAAGTGTGTGTATATATATATGTATATATATACACATATACATATATGTGTGTGTGTATATGTATATATATACATATGTATATATACATATGTATATAATATGTATATTAATTAATTAATAAACATTTATTAAGCACCTACTCTGTGTCAGGCACTGTGCTAGGCAATGGAGACACAAAATGAGGCAAAAGACTGTCTCTACCCTTAAGGAACTTACAGTCTAATGGAGAATACAATATTGTACAGGTAAGTAAATTCAGGACACATATTATCATATCTATTGAGGAAACTGAGTATCAGTAAAGCTAAATGAGTGGGGTTTTTTTCTGTGTCACGCAGGCAGCATGTGTCAGAAGAAGGATTTGACCCAAGGTTTTCTTGACTTCAAGTCCAGTATTCTATCTATTCCCTATACCGACCTAGCTTCTGATTCTTTCATTTAACCCTTACT